GCCTGGCTCATCTGAGCGTAGGATTGTTTCCTTAAGTCCCAGCAGCCGCAGGTGACCCAAAAACTTTGTCTCCCACAACTCATAATTTTTCTCATCTCCGTCGAAACACAATCGTTGCCATCGGTTTCCACTTTCCTTCCTGGGCCCATAACCTGTTGACGCAGCCATTTGAAGACAGGGAAGACAGGAGAACCGACGGACAGCTAATCTTGACAGAGGGATGAACAAACACCATGCAGGCACCATTCAGTGGGGACTGGTCACAGCCGTAGCAGCACCACGCCCTTTTATTAACGCATGCACAAATTAATCACAGCTGTAAGAGCACAACCAATCAACACAATTTAACATTCCATATAAAACATTTCAGTGAGTTGTGTTGTTGCATCATTTTTGGGGGGTTAATGAGGTAGAACCAGCAAAGTCATCACACCGCTAGTGAAGCATTAGCATGTGTCTATTTATCTAAAGGGTTAGCCCATGGGTTAGGGTTAACCCATGGGTTAGGGCTAACCCTAACCCATGGGTTAACCCTAACTAAAGCATAAAATCAAAACACGAGATTATTAAATGAAGAAATATCGAACTGAAAGCGCATGTTTAAAATCAAGCTTCAGCTTTACTGGCTTGAAGTCAAAGGATTAAAACCCAGTTAAACTTAAAGGTTCATATAAAAGAACCTTTATATCAGGTCACATTAAGAGTAATTAAGTACCTTTATATTTAGGTAAGGGTTAGGGTTAGGTTTGGACTAATGTTAACGTTTACATCCCCTATAGTGGGATGGGTAAAATCCTTTCATGAGCCTTTGAGCGCCACTGAGCTTCTCGTCTACCGGTTTGGGTCAGCACCTCTCAAACGCTGCTGTTTGGTCCCCTACCCTAGTATATGGCTGTAAATAGAAATAAATGCAGCGCCTCTGAGGCGCTGGCCCTTTAAGCCGTCTCGATGCAGCCCGTGTTCACAACGCTTGTTATAGATGAAGAACGGTTCGGGTTCTTGGAGTGTTCTCTGAGGTTCTGCGAGGCTCTCTGCCTTCAAGTTACAGCAGGACAATCACAAGAGAGAGCCTCGTTTGCTCTTTGTTGATCCCTTTTATGGTAAATTCACTGTTTTTGGCTCATGCGAGGACTTTTTCCTTCAGACAGTGACATCATTAACCTTTCGCTTCACAGGTGTAACCGCAGCGTGTGCTGTTGTGAGTTCAACAGTCGTAACCACATCCCGACTCTTGGGCGGTGTGGCATGGAGTTGTTTTCGCCTTTAGCACAGATGTATTATCACATTCTGAAATTAGGTCAAGGTGAAGTCAACTTTACGCTTTTACAGGTGCGGAACTAGTCGATAACGTTGAAAACCAGATGTCGTCGCCTCCGCTGTGGTTTTCAGTTATTAGTGGGCTGACGCACGTTACGTGCATATCAAAGACTCTGCGTCTCTTGCATGCCTTAGCAGGACGGTACAGGTGTCAGCACCCGGTCCCAACAAACGTCTTGTCTTTGTCCACCGTGAGTTCCTGTTCAGACAAAGAGGGCCAGGGAGGTGTCCTTGAGGCAGCCCTCGCCACAAGTTTTAGAGGCAAGACGAACAGCACAGGGAGTTGCACGTTCCCTACCAGCGAGCAAAAGTCCACAGGCACACCCGGGTGCCCATTGAACCTTTCCCCATCTCTGGTCATCGTTTTGACCATGTGCATGTGGACCTAGTGGGGCCCCTCCCCCGTCTGAGGGATTCACCCACCCCTGGACAATGGTTGACCGAACCACACGCTGGCCAGAGGTGGTCCCCCTAACATCTACCACATCTGCGGTAGTAGCCCGAGCCTCTCTGTCATCCTGGGTTGCTCGGTTTGGGCCACCCTCAGACATAACTTCAGACAGGGGTCCCCAGTTAATCTCTGAGCTTTGCTCAGTCATGGCACACAACCTGGGGGCCAAAACGCACCACTGCCGTGCGTGGAGGACCACAAAGAGGCTGCACTCACACCCAGGTCTCTGTAAATATGGTGGACGCCTGGCTGCTGCTGAGCCAAGCAGGCTTGTATGTAAATGAGTTGAGGCTGCATTTAAGGACCAACACAGAGGTGAAAGACTCAGTGCTGGGACACTAAAGATGTGAATGAAACCTACCTTTGTGTCGTCCTTGACTCCTCCACAACTTTACTGCTGCCAGAAATATGTCCTGAAGATGTTCCTCCGTTCAACAACATCAGGTCCATATAAACAACGTTACCCTGTCTTCAGTAGTGCTCCACACGCTGCTGCAGCAGCCTCTAGTCCAAAACAGACTCACCTATACAGAGTTCCTGCAGTCGCGGTTGGCCTAAATAGGCCATTGATTATATGATATTAACCACATGTTACTGTGCATAGCTTTATTGGAGTATTCATTAAGCATAACGCATCCCAGCACAATGTTGTTGTTTTTTTTACCAGGGCGAGTGCTGTCATCACCTGGGCAATGAAATAGTAATTTTTCCATGTACCCCTGTAATGTGCTCACGGACCACTAGGGGTACGCGTACCCCTGGTTGGGAGTCATTGCTATATGGAGCCTTAGTCACTTCCGCATCACGGGTCCCTGAACGCGGCTAAAAGCTATTTTCTAACCGCGCTGCCTCACGCCCTGGATCACACATGCTGTACTGCTATTTATATGAAAAGTAATGATGGTGTTTTGACCACGGCACTCACGCACTTTGAGATTTATCAGCTTGTAAAAGTTCAGAATTAGCGTGACTACACACCAGAAATCGGCACGTCGCATTTGTGACGTCACCACATAAGCTCCTCCCCCCTAGCGTAGCTGCTACTCACCACATGACCAGATTTATGGTGGTTCTTCCCTCCTCTGGGAAGTTTGCTGACCTTACAGCCTTTTCCCTCAGTTTTCTCCGTGCCTGGTTCGATGATGTCACCACATAAGCTCCTCCCCCCTAGCGTAGCTGCTACTCACCACATGACCAGATTTATGGTGGTTCGTTCCTCCTGTGGGAAGTTTGCTGACCTTACAGCCTTTTCCCTCAGTTTCCTCCGTGTCTGGTTCGACGACGTCACTTTGGTGAAGCGCGTTTGTGGTCCTGGACTTATTTTCACACAACACCTAAAATATCGTGCTCCCTGTTAGAAAATAAACGCGTTCTTGGAATCAAAGTGTGTCTTTAAACTTGACGGTCATCATGTGTGAAATCTATGGAACAAAACAAGCGGGTTAGAAAATAGCGTTTTTAGCCCCGTTGACCTGCATTCATTTTCTCGTTCTTCCGGGGACCCGTGGTCCAGAAGTAGGTGGGCGTGGCTTAGGCTCCCCATTGGGAACCAAACCTGATTTTTAAGTGGAATCATTTTAGTGACTCAAAGAACCATCCTTTTTTAGATCAATAAATTATTATTTGCTCAATCCACCACCAACTTTTCATTCGTGAAACCGTCCACCAGAAGCCACCTGGGAAGTATCTTCTGACCAGTCGTGCGTTTGCTGAGGGTGCCTACGATCTTCAGATACATCCGAAGTTCACTCACTTGCTCTGAGAGGCGGCTTCACCTGCAGACCGAATCACCGGGAGCTTCCACGACACTGTTGCATAGCTTAGGAGCGACAGTGGCACAGGAGTTAATTGCTCGCCCCGCAATCGGAAGGTTGCAGGTTCGAGCCTTGCTCAGTCTGTCGCTGTCATTGTGTCCTTGGGCAAGACACTTAACCCACCTTGCTTGCTGGTGGTGGTCGGAGGGACCGGTGGCACCAGTGTGCCCCAGGGCAGCTGTGGCTACATCGTAGCTCATCCCCACCAGTGTATGAATGTGTGTGTGAATGGGTGAATGACTGGTTGTGTTGTAAAGCGCCTTGGGGGGTCCCCGCTATATCAAATACAGGACATTTACCATTTACTCAGTGGCGCTGGATAAGTTAATATTAATCTGATGACTTGTTAAATTACATCCAACAACAGCCATATTGGTTATAAACCCAGACATCACACCTTTCTGAGTCACTTAGTGAAGCTCTTATACGTCATGTTTCATCACACTTCATTCATTCATTCTCTCGTTTCATATCACTTTGAACCCCCATTCATAATCAAAAGTGCTCCAAAACACTGGCAGTCAGGGGCGTTCTGATCTGAAAATGTCTGGCAGTGAATTAATGAAGGAGATGAAAACTAAAGGCGCATTTCTGTCTGTCTCATAAGCCAAGAGCACCGTCGCAGCCGCTGTCTGTCCCAGACCCAGCCGCGTCTGCTGCTCACCGACCAGCCTCAGCAGCCGAGTGATGCCCTTGCTACTTTTGAACATATTAGTAATATCAACACGGTTCTTATCTGTGTTCCTTGAAAAAGTGAAAAGAACAAAATGACAGTTTTTGACAAGTTTAAAGTTTTTTACAACGGCAATGGCATTTTAAAAACTTTAACAAGTTCCCTAAACTAACACGGTTAGCACATCCAACTATGTAGGCCTTGTAGAGTATACAGTTAACACATTTCCTGTTGCTTGGGTACAAAACTATATAAAGTTACCTCTGCAGGGTGGCTGGCCTCTCCTTTAGAGATAGGGTGAGAAGCTCAGTCTTCCGGGAGGGGCTCGGAGTAGACCCGCCGCTCCTCCACACCGAGAGGAGCCAGTTGAGGTGGCTCGGGCATCTAGTCGGAATGCCTTCTGGACGCCTGCCTGGTGAGGTTTTCTGGGCACGCTCAACTGGGAAGAATGCCGGTTGATTGGAATCACAAGGATCCAAGCTTTCCGATGATGTGTGGTATCTATACCCTGACCCTGTACACACAGCAAGTTGAGTTGATGTGGAAGTTTGCAATGTTCCATCTCTCAGACTAATTCATAGCCATAAAAGACGGCTCATTAAAATGATTGGTGAAGGGCTTGGCCAATCGCTGGTGCTCATAGTTGGTCCAGTCGCCCAACCTTGGTGGTTAGGGCTTATGTAGGGAATATTTCTGGCAGAAGTGGCCATTTCAGTTTGATTCATGACTTTTTGTTTGTCTTCAGTTCTGTTGAGGATCAGTAAGAACCCAGAACCCTCCCAGATTCCTCCAGGGTCCAGATTGAGGACTTCAGTCTCAGGTGGGTCATTGTGAACTAATGGATCCATCATCATCGTGTTCAGAAGCTCCATTCTCTTATCTCTGATGTCCTGTTGGTTTTCCAGTTCCTGCTGCTCCCAGGAAGGTCCGCCGTCGGCCCTGGTCTTCTGAGGAGAAGGAGGCCATCTGGAGGCAACTGGGAGACCACGTCCTGGCCCAGTCGGTACCTGGAAAGGAGGTTTGTCAGCGATGTCTAGACTTGGAACCTGTCCTCAAAGGAAGACATTGGAAAGATGTGAAAAACCAGATCCACAACCAGATCCAGAGCCAGAAGAAGCAGCAGTTTCATGCCCAGATGAACCTAGAAGAGAACCAGACAGGACAAACACCAAACCAGTCATATCAGACCCAAATAGATCAACAGAGCAGAGAACCTGCTCAGAACCAGAAGAAACCAATATACCAGGTCCAGATGGACCTCCAGATCCAGGACAACATTCAAAGCCAGATGAAGCAGCTGGATTACATCAAAGTGGGCCAGGACCAGCTTCACATCCACAAGAAGCATTTGTGCCATATGAGACTGGATCTCCAGAGCCATGGTCAGGTCCTTAAGATACACCAAATGGACCATCAGAACCAGTCCCATCATAGCCTGGATCAGGACACGTCCACTCTGACAGTCTCATCCTATGGACCTGACGGGCCTCTACCAGCTCCAGAACATCTAGTGTTGGGCCAGGAACCTAACATGCTCCACTATCCTGTTCTGCCCAGAGAACCCAGAACCCAGATGGACCCACTTCTGTCCAGAACCAGTTGGACTGATGAGACTTTAGCCCAGAACTTCTCCATCAGCAAAACACTGCTACCTGATCCCAACTCTGGGAATGTCCAGTTCTGATGGTCTAAATATAACAGCAGCAGAGGTTTATTGAACATAAACTCAAACATACCTGATATGTATGTGTATATATATATATATATATATATATATATATATATATATATACACATACATATATACAAAGGTTTTTGTCCACTGTAAGGTCAAAGGTCACCAGACATTGATTTGTCCACAGTCTGCTTCATCAAGGGTTAACTGTGTACTTTCCACTGCTCTATGAACTTGCTGCTACCAAGAAGAGAAGCCATAATAAAATTCCTTCTCCTGACTCCCTTATCTGGCCTACAACTCACGAGTCTTTGCAGAAGACGACTTTTAGTCCTTATAAAACTATTTCTTTCAATCTAAAGGTTTATAATCATATTCTGTGTTATCTACAATAAATATTCTATCTAAAGGGATTTAATGGCTAGGGTTTGGGATTGGGATGAAGGGGTCATGCTGCCGGAGGCATATGGGTTCTGTGGGCGTGGCCTGTAGTCATAGGCCTTATAGTCCTGGCCCACTCCGCCTCTCGTGTACAATAGGGCGTCAAACATATTAGACCACCATAATTTCAGTAATAATGTACATATAACAATGAAACATTATTATTAAAGCAAACATGAATAAAATGTACAAAAATATAAATGTTAAAGGCCTTGAAATCATATTAGTCCCCAAAAGTGACTGCAAATGAACTGGACGTCTTTTAATGTCATCTGTGGTCTTGTGCTGCCATCTTGTGGACAAAACAGGAAACTGTTAAGTCTTTTCCATTCTGGGTTAGGAGTTGTATAAAGAGAGCTCTGAAGGACAGAACCCCCCAGAACTCCGGTGCACGGGCACTCCTGCAGTAAGCTGGGTGGAATTACAATTTTGCCCCTCGTTGGGACCCAAGAGGGAACCCCGTTGCAGCGTCTGCTGAGGAAAAACCACTGGTTAGCGTTACCAGATGACCAGTTTTGGTTTCAAGAAAACATGACTCCAGGATTTTATTATTTAATTCCCAGCAAATTATGATCCCTTGGGAAGGTGGATCCTGCAGATGAGGCTTTAAGAGAACAAGAGTTAAAGGGTTAGGGTTAAAGGGTTAGGGTGCACAGACACTCCCGCATGTGGTTGGCTGATCATGATTTTATCTTTCATTCAAACCTCCTGGGGTTTAAGTCCCTAATGTGTGGATCCATATTCTTTCAGTCCTTCTGCGCTGTGCTGTGGACCAGTGGGGTTTGATTCCAGGACAGAAGCTGTGAGAGCCTCCCAACCATGGTGAATGAAATGTCTGACTAGAGGGGATTGTGTTTGGTAATGTTGCAGCGGTGTTGGGTGAGTAAGGTGTTGGATGTTGCACCCACAGAACTGATGTAACACACCTTGCATGAAAGGAGGTAGACAGTTTTTGTATTTTGCATCGACCACCTGTGTGATTGAATGAAGAGTTTGTAACGATCTGACATTGTCATGACAACATAGAGCTAAGCACTCCACCGCTCCTCTCACCTTTCTTCTTGATTATAAATCCGCTGCACCTGTGCGCAGCTGGCTGCCGCACCCTAAACAGGAAAAAATAGAAAGTGCCTTCAAGCTCCACGGACTCTCTCTCTCCACCTGTGAACAGAGTGGTGTGAACACAGGCGCACCGTGATTTCTACCGAGTAAAAGGGCTGTTTTTTAATCAAAGAGGCCGTTAATCCCTGAAGGATTGAGACAGATCTGGAAGATGGAAGAAACGCTCAACAACCAAGTTTCTAAGTTCGCTATTTGATGATGTCATCATCTGGACGCACCATATTCATCGCAACTCGACCACTGATGTAAGTTCTTATGACCGTAGTGAGAAAAAAGGAAAATGAAGCCAAAACTCATCTGAAAATTCTTTTAAAGGGGGATTGCTTAATCGGATTGCCCATTGAAGAGATTCTTACGTCAAGCAAACGATCTACTAAAACATGAGTTAAAAAGAAAGCTAAACTCAGAATTTGGGTTTGCTCAATGACAGGATGAAAATGGAATCGATTATTAAAAGAAAATTATTTCCTTTGTAGTGAGAACGTGCTTTTCAAGCTTCTCATCACTCTCATTTGTTAAACGACCCCTGTCATGTAAGTTTATTTGAATATTTTGTGTATATGTAAATATTAGAAAAATGATATTATAACTGAAATTTGTTTGTTTGTTTATAACTTTTCCAATACAAGGGTGATCTGCACTCACCTGAAAGCAGCTGCTTCTCCATTAAAGAGCAAGTAACGTCTAAATGAACTTTTATTGCTGATGAACTGTATAAATGAGTGTCTAATAGTGCTTTCAATGTGTGTATTCATTATTTTAGCATTTTGGTGCATTTTCTTTAAAAATTAAAAATTCTGCCTAAATACCACAGTATAGCGCCACCTTCAGCTTAAAACATAGAATTTGACTCATTTTGACTAAATTATAGCCAATGGCTAAAGAGTAAGATACTACGTAAACCAGTAGAGTACTACGTAGCAGCTCTGTGTCAACGTTATAAAAGCAACGAGAGTCTCGGCCACGCCTTGTGGCGAGTTGGGAGTTGGATTTGCAAGCGAGCGTAGGAGGTCAGCGGTAGTTCAGCATTAGCATATAGCATTAGCATATCCTAGTCTTTAGCATAGCTTTTAGTGTTATACATACTTATTTAGTGTTAACTTGGCTGTTGGATATTGTAGTTTAGTTAGTGTTTGGCTGTTAGTGTAATTAGGAAAGTAGTTCGGGTTTAGTGTTCCATATCGTGTTAGCATGGTGAGATGGTGTAGTGTAGTATGGTTGCGGTGGCTCTGTGGGCATTTCATCCGCGATTCTGCACGTCTCCGTTTGAAGAGGGAGGCTGCCCACCGTGGCTCTTCCGCGATTTAGATGCAGCCCACCGACTCTGCTCCCCCACCATGGCGGGCTCTAGTCTGAGGTGAGTCAGCTAAATAAAGTTTTAACATCTTCTAAAGACAATTCCCTACCTAAATGCAAAGTCCGAGAGACGTGGTTCACTTCCTTTAGCTAGTCAGTCGGCAATTCTGCAACAGTGGCTCTTACTGACGCAGCACTAGTTGACAGACAGCATTACAGCATGAAATCCAGCTTGTGAACAGGTTCTGTTAGGAATTCTGTTCAGGAGGTCACATTTCAGGCTCTCCACATCATGTGTGATGGACTTTTACGTTATAACAACGATCACACACTAGGAGTGTTATAAAGCGCCTATATAGGAGATTCTTTTGTATATTATCTGACTTTATAAACTCCCAACAACAATGTGCTTCTATTTTTTCAGGCTAAATCTACCCAAGACACTGGGTGTCAGACTGATTTAGCTGCAAGAATGCACTTGTCCAGGCTGACGTGAAACCTTCCCTGTAGCAAAGGTGAATTATTTTTAATAATCTTCTATGTAAACATTTTATTATCACCTTCTAGTTTTAATTTGTTTTACAGATTATTGTTACACGTGATTTTATGCTCTTTTAAACATTTATAAATGTGCTGCTTCTTTGTTTTTACATAGCCAGCCAGAATGGAGTTCACAGCCGCAGTGTGTCTGGTGACCCACGGGGACCATGATGAAAATTCATCTTCCAGAAGGTCCCAGAGCAGCGGCCACACCCCCTGAAAAGACCAAGGTGTGAGGTGTCTGCTGTTGATTCCAGCTTCCACCTCAGTGACAGTGCAAGCTCAGTGAACTGTTCAAGGTAAAAAAAAAAATTAAAACATTTCTGAATTTTTAAGATATTAACAATTAAATAAGTATGTGATTACATCATGACATCATGAAGGAGGCTACTGATTCTGGCCCTGTGACACTTGGTGGTGACGTGTGAGCTGATTCACCTGGTAAATAACTTTTACATTAAATATTTTGTTTTTGCTATCAAAAGTAAATTAACTAATAACCTGCATTATTGCAGGCCACTCAGCAAAATATGGACTCTACACCATGAGGCAGGCACACGTTAATATTCTATAAGAGCACATAAGGTGAGCAACACCACATATTACTGTACACTGTCCTGGATTTGTTTTCTTTCTGCATCTCATTAGCCTGGCTGATCACCTGATAACTCCTGTCATCTGGTTATGACAGCATGAGGATGTCCTCACACACACCTGTACTCACACACACCTGTAACCTATCAGCTCATCTGGCAGAATAGAGAGAGAAGAGACACCACATCTCCTGTTCCTGGAAAGCCTTCAGCCATCCTTCGATGACTGAGAACCTCCATCAGCTCTGTCTCCTGTCTGCCCACAATTATTATAATAAATATTGTGTTTGACAAGTTTTTTGTGCTGCCAAATATCTCATTTTGATTCCAGTTTTGATATTTTAATGGATATTTATAAATTACATTAATTGAATTATCACATTGTTGCATGCTTAACTAGCTCTATTGTGATTAATTAAACTAGCACCTCACTGTTAAAAGCTCGTTTTAATTTCAAGCATGTTTAAGTATTTATGGACATGAACAAAAATAGGAAATATACAACTTCAGATCATTACAATATATTTATACACTGTAATTAGATCTAAGTAATTAATAAGAAGTGGTTGTTTTTATTATCAGGGAGTTTACTTAAACACTTTGTATTGACTGAGAGACAAGAAAAGAGAGTTGGGATCATTTAAGAATCTTTAATTTCTATAATTATAAATTCTTACAATCTACCAGGACTATCTCAATGATGGATGCATATGGATGTAGATGTTTCGTGTTGGTGTGTGTGTGTTGTTCAGAATCTCTAGGCTGACGTAGCGAATCTGGTTGTTATGACTAGGCTACCACGAGGCTTCAGAAGCTGATGACATGAGCCGCCATTTTGTGCCGTGACCACGTACAGGTGCTGGCCAGTAAATTAGAATATCATCAAAAGGTTGAAAATATTTCAGTAATTCCATTCAAAACGTGAAACTTGTACATTATATTCATGCAATGCACACAGACCAATGTATTTCCAATGTTCATTACATTTAAATTTGATATTCATAAGTGACAACTAATGAAAACTCCAAATTTGGTATCTCAAAAAATTAGAATATTCTGAAAAGGCTGAATATAGAAGACACCTGCTGCCACTCTAATCAGCTGATTTACTCAAAACACCTGCAAAGGCCTTTAAAAGGTCCCTCAGTCTTGTTTTGAAGGCACCACAATCATGGGGAAGACATCTGACTTAACAGCTGTCCAAAAGACAATCATTGACACCTTGCACAAGGAGGGCAAGACACAAAAGGTGATTGCTAAAGAAGCTGGCTGTTCGCAGAGCTCTGTGTCCAAGCACATTAACAGACAGGCGAAGGGACGGAAACAATGTGGTAGAAAAAAGTGTACAAGCTCTAGGGATAACCGCACCCTGCAGAGAATTGTGACGACAAACCCATTCAAAAATGTGGGGGAGATCCACAAAGAGTGGACTGCAGCTGGAGTCAGCGCTTCAAGAACCACCACGAGGAGACTCATGAAAGACATGGGATTCAGGTGTCGCATTCCGTGTGTCAAGCCACTCTTGAACAAGAAACAGCGCAAGAAGCGTCTCGCCTGGGCCAAGGACAAAAAGGACTGGACTGATGCTGAGTGGTCCAAAGTTATGTTTTCTGATGAAAGCAAGTTCTGCATTTCCTTTGGAAATCAAGGACCCAGAGTCTGGAGGAAGAGCGGAGAAGCACAGAATCCACGTTGCATGAGGTCCAGTGTAAAGTTTCCACCGTCAGTGATGGTGTGGGGTGCCATGTCATCTGCCGGTGTTGGCCCACTCTGTTTCCTGAGGTCCAGGGTCAATGCAGCCGTCTACCAGGAAGTTTTAGAGCACTTCATGCTTCCTGCTGCTGACCAACTTTATGGGGATGCAGACTTCACCTTTCAACAGGACTTGGCACCTGCACACAGTGCCAAAACCACCAGCACCTGGTTCAAGGACCATGGTATCCCTGTCCTTGATTGGCCAGCAAACTCGCCTGACCTTAACCCCATAGAAAATCTATGGGGTATTGTGAAGCGGAGGATGCAATACGCTAGACCCAACAATGCAGAGGAGCTGAAGACGACTATCAGAGCAACCTGGGCTCTCATAACACCTGAGCAGTGCCACAGACTGATCGAGTCAATGCCACGCCGCATTACTGCAGTTATTGAGGCAAAAGGAGCCCCGACTAAGTATTGAGTGCTATACATGCACATTCTTTTCATGTTCATTCTTTTCAGTTGGCCAACATTAGAGAAACAAACATTTTTTCATTGGCCTTTAGAATATTCTAATTTTCTGAGATACCAGATTTGATGTTTTCATTGGTTGTCACCTATAAATATCAAAATTAAACGTAATAAACATCGGAAATACATTGGTCTGTGTGCATTGCATGACTATAATGTACAAGTTTCACGTTTTGAATGGAATTACTGAAATATTTTCAACCTTTTGATGATATTCTGATTTACTGGCCAGCACCTGTACCTATGGAGTCTCCCGTGTAGATCAGGAAATGCCAGGTCCTAGGACCTCGAATGTACTGGAGCTGGTGAAACAGCGGTCGCAGCGATACAAAGCCTGTCTGTGGGTCGGCTCCGGTAGTAGTCGGCAGGCGTCGGCAAGTTCACTCTTATTTTGAAGGAACATCGTCTCGTTGGTTCAAACGATGGAAATCTCCAGCTTGACAGTTCTCAGCTTAAAGTAGAAAGTACAGCTGGCCAGCCTGTACCTCTCTTTTGGCGGTGATGGATTGAGAGCTGGTTGAAAACAATGTTGAGAGTATCCTTTGGAGCTCGGATCGAACAGAGCTGATAGTAATGTGGAACTGAATATAAAATGGCGTTGCCTTCTTTTATATCTCCCAGTTGTTTATAAATCTTAGTAAACCGGATTGGACGACTTTCATTAAACAACCCAGATTCTGCCCTACCACAGACGAAATTTCTGATTGGTTGAGAATAATGTGTCATGCGTTTCCATGGTAATGTAGATCAGTCTGTCTGGTGCCGTCCTGTTTATTCATTAAACACATAACTCATGACATCTTTATTTCACAGATCATTCACCTGATTATTAATGATCAACATATGCTTTGATTAGCTTATCACAAATAAAGTACTTTGATTAATCAATGAAAAGCGTTCTTCTTCTCTTCTTCTGTCTCTTCTCCTGGAATGTAAAATTACTGAACCAAGCGCCCGACCTTGGTGATGTTACTGTGTGAAGGGGCAGCTGTTAAGGCAGACCATTATAAGATTCATAACGCTACACACACCCCCTTTTCAAGGTCAATGTGGTCCTGCAAGAGACCACTTGGTCGTTGAACAAACCCAAGTTATGAAGAATCTTGACAACCGAACAGGATGTGATCCCTCTGGAACAGCCAACTGTGGTGAGGTACGAACCCCACGCTGAAGAACAGTCTCGCACACTCCTCAGGAAGAACACAAGTCAGCAGGTTATTAACTATCCCCCACGGAAGCCATAATTGAAGCAACAGCAGCTATATATCCTCACGGGCAAAAATGCAAAGCAGGAGCAAATCTTGTATTTCCACGAGCAGGTAATTATTCCTAATAGCAAATTGATCTTTGTATCCAATAGCAGGGTAATATTCCAAATATAAGATTGATCTTTGTATCCACTGGCAGGGTAATATTCCAAATAAAAATTGAACTTCGTATTCACTAGCAGGGTAATAGTCCAAATATAAATTGAACTTTGCAACAGTACTTATCGTAATCCACAAAAAGTGAAGAGTAGTAGACAGTAATCCCAACGAATGAGGTGTCCCAGCAGCCATGCCGGAACCACGGTCGTCCAAGGCCAACGAGCCGGAGCACCCCCCAGGAGTAGTCGATGCAGATGACGAGTCACGGATCCACCCTCAGGAAGCAGGATCCTCACGAGCTCAGCAGAGGAGAGAGAGCACAGTGCAGGCACTTCAATGTAGACACGACAAAATCGCATTTCATGTCATCAAAGAAATAAAAACCTAACTCTATGAGTACCTGTTGTACTATGTGTAAGTTTTATGTGAATTACCCATTAAGTGAAGAAATGGATGCAACCTTCTCTGTGTGAGATGCAAAAAGGATGATGCGAAAAGCAGAAAATGAAAGAACCCTATCTGGTATCAGTGAATCCTCACTGGAAATGCACGCTGCCAGGACAGGACAAAATTGGTTATGGCCCGTAAGAAAAATCAACGTTGATAATCATAACAATCACTTTGAAATCAACTTCAAAGATACTATAAAAAAACAGAAATGTAAATCAGTACTAAAATGTAAATCAGTAGTTAGTAATCACCTTCATGTGAATGTACCCATAAGGAATTGTGATTAGTAAAGAGAAAAAAACAAAATTTTGGACAACAGTACTATGTGGCCAAACCCACTTACTGTTACCTGGCCGTTTACCTGACTCCAGGAGCCCACAGCACGTCCGTCTCAACACACCCTAAGTCTGCACGTGACGTATAACATGAAACACAACCATGCACACTCACAAACACACAAACTTGTGTAACCGGAGATAGATGACTGTGGAACCACCGAGCCTGATAACCGGGATCCTCCACCTTCTACGTCCCTGATGTTGGAGGAGGAGGAGGCGGAGGAGGAGAGGAACTCACCGACTCCGGCGCAGACGCCTGGGCAGCCGGTCTTTCATGACGCAGTTCCAAGGTCCGAGCCAGGCGTCCACTAACATCACCGATCGACGTCTCCAGAATTTTCAATTTGGCGGAGAACCGACGGTATTGGAAAAGGAACATAGCCCAAATCAAGCAGATGTTTATGCCTATAATGAATATCGGCACCGAGTCAGCGGAGGACCAGGAGTAATACACTGGTCAAAACTGAAGATCGGGATCCGACTTCAGCTCACGCAGCACCCTGTTCACCACACCCACGCGAACCACAGTCGGACCGCCGAACGTCACCCAATCCACCGTCCTTTGAGAGAGAGCAAAAGAGATGTTATCATAGAAAGGAGAGGACTCCACTACGGACCTATGCTCACCAGGATCCAAGTGATATAGAGAGACCTCACCAACGTGGACCGTAGCACCACGGGGAACCGTTACCCATAAGGTCTCAGATGGTAGCACCACTTTTGTAGGCACAGAACCCTCAAAGCAAACCTCAGCTTCACCAGCAGGGGTATTGAGTAACCAACGGTCGCCAACAATAACAGCTTTACTGCTCATTACATGTGAACGCGGAGTCACTGTCATAGGACATTTAGACTCATCTGGCAACTCATCAACGCCACACACGACAAAGGCCTCCCTGTGTGGAAAAGGTGTGCCT